AATAATAATAATAATAATAATAATGATATAAAAACTGACTTTCCTATATATATAAGCGGTAATGGCATACTGTATTAGTCAGGTTGAAAGGTAATTTTCATAGCTGTTTTTTCTAAAGTTTAGCTGCTTAGTTTGCAGGTCAAAACCAACCCCAAGAACTTGCTGGGCACCTGTAAGCTTGTAATGCTAATGTTGATAGAGCTAATGCATCACTTTTGCAATCAGTGCTAATTTAGCCTCGAGACTTTAAAAATCCTTGTTCCCTCCATGCTAGTGTACATGCTGTACCAAAGAGCTGAAATAAATCTTCAGCAATTTGGGGGTTCCAACTTTGGAGGATTTTCAGAATATTTTGAATGTGAGTTTCCAAGGTAGAAATGGTGGAACAAGTCTTGCACAGGAAGACAAAGTTTTGTTTTGTTTATGAAACAGGGTAAATTGGTTATTAAGATCAACATTTCAAGGAAAATAATAGAATTGGAATCATATTAAAAATGATCTATCAAAACGTATCTGAAACAATTTACATAATATTTGCAAAGTGATGCAAATTCATACCAATTCACACCCAAATATTCTTTTTGAAGCATTTCTGACATTGCTTTCTTGCATAAATGTGTAGTATAAACACGTTATTGCTTTGATAATCAAACATAGCATTAATGAAAAATAACTAACATTTCATTATTTCTTACTGATTTTTACATAAAGACCACAAAATATTCCATTTACAATTGAAACTCGGTCTGAAGCTTACACTTACATGCACATGTGCATAAGCTTTAAACCTTTTCACAAATTTAAATGTGATTACTAAGCATTGCTTTACTAACACATTAACCCTTGCTTTCAAGATTCACTGGATGGAGATTGATGTTCAGTTTTGCAGACACACTCTTTTGTTATCTTGCAGTTCTTTCAGGTCACATACTCTAATCATGCCTATGCTATCAGATGTCACCACAAACACCTTTACTTTCTATTATTACTTGCAGCTCCTTTAAAATGTCCCCAGTGTCTTGTCTCACACACACTGCATTGAACCTATCTAATCTCCACTTCCTTTAGGCACTAGTCCAAAGTAAGTTATTTTGGTTTTGTTATCCTAACAATTGTATGAATCAACAAATGAAAAAGGACAGCCAAAGTCAAAAGATCCACTTCTGAGAATACCCCACATGCATATCTGACATAACTGAGGAATCAGGCAAATCAATACAAAATTGCAACTATTAACTGATCTGTACGTTTACGGATGTGTAATTTTAATTTTACACTACTGCTAACTGAGTATCCTGTTTAATCATACAAGAAGTATGAAGAAGTCAATTTAACACTTTTTCCCACAAGTGCAACCAGTTTGTATTCCAAAACCACTCAAAAAGAGCTACACTATCTTCTTAGAAGCAAATAAAGGTTTATTCCATGCTGAAAAGAGAAGAAAAGAAAAACAAAATTTCAGCTGTGGAGCCTTCTTCGGGTGTGAAGATGGCTCCACACCCGAAGAAGGCTCCACAGACAAAACGTGTTTCTTTTCTTCTCTTTTCAGCATGGAATAAACCTTTACTTGCTCCTTTGCAGCCTACGCATGCTGACACAGCCACCTTCTAAGAAGATATTATGATCTAAATCACTACCAGCTGTGGGTTTTCCATTAAGTTCCATTTCATTTTCTACTATCCCACAGTAGAAAATGCTCTTTCTTATACAAAAAGTATTTTTATGTCTAGATGAGAAGTCCTTCCAGTCTATTGTATGATTCATTGTAAGCTTTTTCATTCTTTAGAATGATTACTACATGGTGAAATAAAAAAAAATGAATGGAACTGACACCTTGATCTAAATTGTTACAAATGATAAAGTAATTGTATTCAATACCAATGATTCAATAACATTTAAATCTAAATGTATTAGTATTACCCTGTATTGAATTTACTGAAACTTAAACACTAGATTACAGTTGCAGAAAAATATACTGCAGAAACATGGCATTCCTTTGAGATTTTAAAGAAACTTTCCTTTCAGATTCTTCTTGCCTTGTTAGTGCAGTTGCTCCAACAATAAACACTTGGTCTTAAGAGGGCCAGTTCAGCCACCAGTTTGAATCTAGCGCACTAGTCATTAGGAATTCCCTGTAGATGGCAACAGCTGACGAAAGGTTACTTGCATGTTGTCCATATTAACTATTATTATCTAATAATAGCAACTAGGCCACTGTCAGTCTTGAGAGGATAAAACTGTAACATACTGTTAAACACAAAGACACTGCCGAAAGAATTCAAAACCAGAAACCTTTTTTACCATAAACTGATTGGTTTATCACTATTACTTTTAATTAAAAAGGACTAGAAATATATTAATAGCTGATTTTTAAAAATACATCAGTTTAAAGAAATAATGAAAACCTTAGAATGTTAAAACATTTTATGGGGCCTTGTGTATACTGTACAATATAAAACCTGGTTTTGTTCATGATTTCCTTGTGTTATTTTTTAGATATTCAGAAACAAATTATTATTAAGTCTTATTTAAAGTTTAGCAATGTCCTTAGGATATTCATTTTGCAGTGTTCAAGCTTAATATATATAGTACTGTACACTGCTACAGTACATCAATAACTTAGAAGAAGTATGAGGGTTATTGAACATTTCTCTTTAATGATCTTATTGAAAAATATATGGCTTGTAAGATTTTCACAAATTAATTTAAGACTTAATTCTATCAAATATAATTTGGCCATATTTGTATGTAATATTACTCCACAATACAGATTATCTTTGCAATACAATGGAGGTTCCTATACAATGTTAATGGTTACAACCATATACAGTAAATACTGTAGGGTGTTGAAATTTCCAGGTTTAATGACTTGCTACACTACTCTAGTTTAATGCTAACTACACTAAATTACACATTGCAGCATTGCTAGATCGCACTAGCATTCCTGTTAACAAGACAGATGGTACCAATAACAAGTCTATGATCCCATTTCTATAATAGAAAAAAATATATGCTGCTTGTTTTTGAATTGGTTTTACAGTCACTCACTGCAACAACATGAAGGACTCTCACCTTGTTGTTCTTTACTCACAGATCTATTAATCGTCTGTCTGTTGTTAGACTTGTGAGGTAGGCTTACATACAGAAAACTCCTCAACTGAGTTATTCTAAGCCCTACAAATAATTCTAAAGATCACTGAATTTGTATCATTCTTTTGGCAGGAGAATTGTAAAACTGATGTGTATCAAAATAAAAAAGACATCATTATACAATAAAATTATATAAATTGTATATAGAAGAAACAGAAATATTACATGAATGACAAAACTATTTTATTTTGTGAGAAAATAAATTCAAAATCAATTTACAATAATAATTTTTGGGAAGGGTTTAAATGTTACCAATTTAATCAAAGTAATGTCCTACACTATACAGTTATCTTGTGTTTACTCTAATTACGTTTCAGCTCGTGAGATTAAGGTAAAAGGGACACTTCTGTAGTCTTTGTGCTCTCCATCGTAAAGTGTGTCAGACAGTTCTTGCCTGTTGGCCTTTAATATATAATATTAATTTGTATATATTAATTCTGTAATATAGATTTATATACAGAAATACAAATAAAAATGTAAGTTATGTACATACATGTTCTTAAACTTCTATAAACAGTGGTTGATAATTAAAGTATTACTTGTCTTTTTTCTTGAGAAATCTTCAGTACTTGGCTGACATATTCATCCATTTAAACTTTCTGGGTATTTTACTGAAGCTGTATTTACTGATGTACAGTACCTCACTCAATAGTTCAACAGCTGTGCCCCAGCTGGAAACTTAACCCACAATCAGAGCTCTAACCTCCACACTACTCCACACTGCTAAAATTTAAAAAAAAACGTTTCTTGAACTGTTATCAATGTCTAACAGACAAGCATGTGCACTTCGAAGGACTTCAGTGCATTCTTTTTTCTACACTAATGACTAGCGCTACAAACTAGTCTTCAAAGATTATTTAAGTAATTATTTTTAAAAATTGAACTCGTTAAGGTAAAAACACTCACACACTGGAAAAATGTAGTATTATTCCAAATATCTTTTTTTGTGAACTCAATTTTGTTATCTCCATGATCCATTAAGGAAAACTGAATGCAATATATAGTTCCTAATATATAATATTAAAAAATGGCATTTTTTAAATTGTATTTTCTCAAGGATAGCCATCATCCAAAAACAAGCACATAAAACTCAGTTCCAATCTTCTCCAGAGTTTTAATCTTCTATGAGGTTTATGGCTTTTGACTTCACAGTCTGATATTTCTACCTTTTATGTAAAAGGTTTAAAGATGTACTCACTGTGCCAGCAGAATCTGAAGAATATTACAAATAATAGCTTTAATGTTACAAAAAAATAAATAGTCAAATGTCCTAACTACAAGGAGAAGTAACAATGCACTATTTAGAATTATTTCTATTGGTGTATTTAAAAAATTGTTAAAAAGGACTATGAAGAAATTTTTAAATTTTAAATTAAGATTTGTTTTAAATCTACCTAAAACAAACTATATTTTAGCCATCACTTTCTAATTATCCATGAAGGAAAGTAATTAAATAAAATTTGATTGCAATAAAATGTGTAAAAGTATATATATAGTTATATATTTTGATTATAAAGCTTGATTAAAAATGAATCAATACTTTTTGTGTCTATACTGTATGCCCCACTCTTTTACTTATTGTTTTTTTCTGTACTATTTTCGGCATTCATGTCAAGAATACTTTTCTACATGTACCTATAGTAATGACTGTGAAGATAGAAAAAGAAAATAAAGTAAAAAAAGAAGTAAAGAAGTAAAAAATACAATACAGTATTTACAATACAGACTGCACACAACTCACTGACACTATCAATCCTGCTTTTCCCTTCTGATCATATAATGGTGTCACATTCCAGGCCCAGAAGATGTTTTCTCAGGACTATTGACTGCAGAGAATGTATCTTCTTCTTGCAACCCATCCAAAGCCCTTCATACAGCACTGGTAAGTCCTGGATGTGTGCAGCTGCATGCCTTTATTGAACTGAAAAAACGTTCAAGACATATGTTGAATGGCAGATACAAAATGGACTTTTACTGCTGTTAAGAATTTTAAAACAGTCAAAATCTTTGTGATATTTCCAAGTGGATGAAATTGGAAAGCACCTGATGTTTGCTCATCACAGCAAAAGCTGTCAGTCAGCTTCACGTTAAGGCCTAAGAGCTTTATATGTACAGTACCATGAGTTTTGCATGAAGTGAAATGCACGACACACAGACACATACTGTACACATTATATACAGTATATAGCTTTTATATGACGAATACCTTCATCTTAGGTGCCGTTTTGGTCTCCATATGCAGTATTCTCATTATCACAAAAATGAATATTAATTATCTCTCAGTTTTACAATGCTTTGAGAAAAATTAAAGTGTAAATAAACTTCTAATTCCAATTCACTTATGTTTTTGATCCTTAGAATATTGCTCAACTGCAGCTTATTTCAGTATATACAGTATTCATTAACTTTGCAGAATTCTAGAATTTTTCAGAAAAATAGTGTAACTGAAAAGACTACATATCTAGTTGTGAACATATGACTTTGTAGTTCAGTGGATTATCAAATAGGTTTTGTGCTGTGGTGTCGCCTAAAAACAAACTCCTTCCTGCACTGGATGACATATCACTGGTGTTACTATTACTATTGTCATTAAGATATCTATGATTAGATATATAATTCTAATATAATTCTTCAGCTTTCATTCCATTTCCAAAGAAAATTCAATTTTTGAACTTTTTTCATGTATGTATTATTTCTGACAAAATCTATGCTTTTAAACCCAACTGCTTATGAAAACCCAGTAATAAATTGTGATGTCTAGCCAACCATTTAAAAAGAAATTGTAAGGGTGTTATTTCATGTTAGAAATAGCAAAAAACATTGATGCATAAAACTAGCTATACAGTATCTAGCTAAATCTAGCTATATGATACATCTAGCTAATAAAACAATAATTAGGTTACACAAATAGATCTTTACTGGGAACATTAAAGAAAAAGAGCATGCTAGAAGTAAAAATTAGTGAATGCCGTGGTTCAGTATGTTTCATTTTAGGTATTATGTGCTGTATTCAAACTGCTTTTAATAGTTATTTACATTCAAAGTAGACAATAGTTCTACTTAGAAGTAAAGATGTTCTATTTTTAGATGTTAAGTATAGATCAAGAACAACTTTGATCTTTGGAAAACAAACCTTTTCTGTGTCTGAGATAGTCTTCGGGTCTTTAATTTTTTCCTGTGAAAATATTTTCGCACTTATTTCCAAACAGTAACTTATAAAGATGTAATTTCTACACAACTATAGCTGCTACACATTTTGGGCTAGTCTAAGAATCTTGTTCCTTTAACAAATAATTCCAAAAGTAAGCAAAACATGCTATACTGTTATGCAATGAAAACACCCTGTATTACATCAATAGGTCTTTCAGCATATATTTTTGAATACATTCGTGAATAGATAGACTTTTCGATTGTTTAAGTAGTAGTGTTCTAAACTGTCTAAAGTGTATTAAAACTGTCCAAATGAGTTTTGACATTTGATCATTAGCTATTCATAATACATCCAACCAAACAGGCATAGTTTTATTCAATCCAAGATCAGGATCCACTTGGGTGTTCATCAGCATGACTGAAGGCATGAAGTAATTAAATCCATTAGACTTGATGCAGTTGCATTTGTTTTATGCATCAATATATGTGTATTTCCACTGACTCCAGGGTCCTTAAATTAAGTGGTTTCCCATTGCACAATAGAGTTTGCTTTTATAGTCCCTTAGGACACATACAATCACAACAAGTATCTTATGAAAGAATAAGATTCATATGTATGAATTACTGTATATTGTATGCATTGCAGCATTTGTACTTGGAAATATTAAACAGCTACTGTATATTGGTGTTCACATCACATTTCTCATCTCATTTCTACATCTCACGGTGTATGACATCATTTAAGTAAAATGTGTATTATCATGATTAGCTTTTATTATATTTCAATACACTTGCTGATATTACTTGCAACTCCTACCATACGTTGTTGTGACAACTTCAAGCTTGGCAAAACTGTTTTTTCAAAACTGAACTTTAATTCACTTCCAAAATGAAAGCAGCTGAAATTGTTTTTGTTTGTTATTATGAGTAATGCTAGGGGGGCTTAGAATGCAAGCTACATTATTTAAAGTGGTTACCTGGTTGAGTTCTATGGGTTTTTAAAAAGAGTGGGTTTATGTGCATTGAGTCGCACAAATTCTCTTAAGTATTATTCGTTTGAGAACATAGCATGTAGCTGGACTCAACAGTCAAAAATAGGGCTTCGATACTATGAATTACAAATGCACTGACCAATTCAACGTAATATTATCTGGGTGAAAAACTAACAATAACATGGGAAGAGCATTACACATGAACTGTTCAAAGTAGTTAGAAGGGGATAGTAATGAAATTTAAGTGACTCAAGTGGAATTAGAACAACTGTCTCTTTCCTCACCTAGTCAAGGGATATGACCTCCCTGTTTGAGATTTTTAAAGACTTCAGAGTTTCAGCTGAAAAACAACTTACCCAACTGCATACAGAACAGACTGCTCCACAAGTGCTGCACTCAGTACAAAGGCAGAGTGGAAAAAGGAAAGCATATGCTCCACAAAAGATCTTTAGTCCTGTTTTGTCATACTGTCATACTGACACATCTAAAGCTCATTAGCTGTCTTTTAATACTTATATAGTAATTATACAATTCTTGGCATTTATTTGGCACTCAAAGACATTTACACCTAAGTGCTTTCTATCACTGAAATGTAGCACCCTCTAGGTGACACAGAACAACTATTAAATGTCAGCAGACCCACTACACAGCAGATCAGGTATAGAAATGAGGAACATTTGATTTAAGGAGGAACTTTAGGAAGGCCAGAACATTCATCAGGTTCATGGTAAAAGTTAGTTATGCAATCTTTCAAAATATACCATGTGATCTTAAATAACCAACTAGTCAGGACTTTGGTTTCATGCTTCATCCAAGGGAACACTGTCCCTGGTGTCATAACGTGGCAATGATTTTGTCAATTCTGGTCCAGAGGAAAGGGTGCTTCCTATTGCTCCAACAAGATCAATTACAGAAAAGACCCAGTTTCCCTAAAGATCACTCATCTCACTGCTGACCAGGTCCAGCTGTGTTCGTGAGATCATAAGATCTGACTATATAGTGTTGAAACTACAGTATATGTCACTTATTGTGCCCCACCATCTAAAAATCATTTTACAAATAAATATTTTTTCAATGCTTTTTCATCAAAAAATTAAGCAACTGTTGCCTTATCTCTATTCATCCTGTGTTTTGATGGTTTCCATTTTGAAAAATAGCACAGTGTTCACTTATATTCCTTTTCCCAAACTTGTAAACAGTCTTGTGGGAATTGCTTAGATATCCCTGTAGCTAAAGATTCATGAAGCACTAATTAAATTTGTATTAGTTGGGGGTGAAGATTGGTAAATGTCCCTGCATGTACAGTAGTTTGTGTATTTTACGTAGTTTACGGGGATTTTTCTTGTTTAGATATCTAGGGAAAGCATACTGAATGTAATGTTAGACTGTCGTTCATAAAGATGTAACTCCAACATAGAAAGTTAATGAGATCTAACATGAGATAAATGCATCTGACCAAACACAAATTTTCCCTAATCAAGGAATTTGAAGTATTTCTGTGTGTGTTTGTTTATCACTGTGTCTCTGAAAATGACTTTACCAGCAGCTTTTTGTTTCCACTGTGACCTCCACAGCTTCATTGAATGGGTCCTATTTGATGATAAAAACACAATGGCAGGATAAGGGACAGATTGTTGTGCAACTGAATGGGGAGCTGTAACCTGACCTAAAACTCAGGGCTCATTGTGTGGCCTCACTGTGATCAGTGCCTGATTGCACTGGAATGAGAGAGAAACCTCCAGGACTACATTATTCATTCATTATTCAGCAGGAGCGTTTACAGAGGGGGAGAGAGAGAGAGACAGAGTGCATTTGAGAGAGAGGCTGGAGCTGGCGAATGCGCTCAATGTCATCCAAGTCAAAACTGCTGCAAACACCAACACTGCATACACACATCGCAGGGAGGGAAGAACAGAATCTCAACCCTTAAAGAAGCTGACCGTTTTCTCCTGCGCACTTTAGAAGGTCTTCTCAATTTTTCATTTTGATTTCAATACAAGGGAAGATTTTGCGATACAGTTTGTGGAAACGGGGACTGTCCTTCACTTGCCTGTCCGGAGCTAAATCATTATAATGAGGTATGGTGTTTCAGTGACATGATGCATGATCTGTTGATGAAAATCTAAAAGTATTTTTAAATCAGCAGATAGACAGCAGAATCAAATGTCAGATCGATATATGTACCCCGATGCTGATCTATTTATTATATACTGTAGCTTTTATTAGACATATATTATTATATTATATTTCATATTATTAGAAACTAGAAAAGTTGAAAAGGTCCCCTTTTTGTTTTAGATAGTTAAAAGTATTCTAAAAGGGCAGATAATCTAATTATTTCAAAGGCTATGGGCAATAAGTATTAGCAAATTATTAGGTCAAATTTGCATTTTGGAACTAACGTCTCAAAAAGGGGTCATTGGTACTAGGAGACTGCAGAGGTTCTTTCTTGCAGCATAATCTCAACCCATGATAACAATTCATAGCTTTTTGAAAAACAGTTACTTTTATACATACTTCAAAAAGGGTGATTGGTGGGGTTCTGAATGTTGTAAAATTTCACCCAACCCAGATCACTTTTAGTAAATGAGACAGAAAAGGAAGCAAAGTTGTCTGCTGAAATAAATTATGTTGCAGTGTTTATGTTAGATTAATTGTCAGTCCTCATAAATATCTCTTTTTCATCTTTGGTGATGTCTTGTAATGCAGGTGAAACTATTGAACCATATCTAGTCCTCTG